CCTGCTCCTGCCAGCCTCCAGGAGGCTGTGAAAACCAAAAGGGCCAGACCTGCCCTCCATGTCTGCTCCCCTAGAAGTCCTGCTCTGCAACCCCCAAAGCATCACAGCTTTGCAGCTACAGCTGAAACCCTCCGAAAGGGCCGTTCAGCAAAGGTGAATGTGATGATGGAGGACAGCTGTTGCTGATATTGCCATCCAAGCTCTGCTTAGCTTTTTTCAGGAGGGCCTTAACTCTTTAAGGTTCATTTCTGACTGTGTTTTGCTATCTGTCTCTGGCATTTTCCCCTGGTGTTCCAACCTCTTCATGCTCCTGGGCTCTCAGTAGCACTAGCCACTCTCTAACGCACAGTGTATCTCAGTTCTTGCACTTTTCAACGCTTCTTACAGACCTCTGCCAGGAAACATGATCATTTTTCCCATTTAAGGGAAAGGATTTCAGACTACAGAATAAAATTTCCGTTATACCTTGAGTGTTTCTAGGCCTGAAAGAAAATCCCTGGAAACCAAAGGAATCCTTAGAGGGGCATAACGGGAAACACACTTTAACTGAGACGGCTTATTGTATGTGACCTTCTTTCCCACTCACAAGTACAAGTACAAGACCCTTGGACTCAAAGAACAATATGGTTATTGTTACATCTTACAGTTCATTTTGGAATATAAAAATCAGCATCCGCTCAGCATCGGGAGCCAGCCAAAACTCTGTGGGCCACCAGAGCAGCTCTGCAGATCTCTGCTGGAAGCCCATTGTTCTAAATACCATTGCTGTGACAGAACTGAGAGTGTGTTTATGTGTAAGGATCCTTTCTTTTCTCAAAGCCACTTGTTTTGCTAAGTCCAGTAAAATGATGTAAATCAGCCTCCCCTCTTACTTCAGAGAATGGACAAGAAGGTGCCAGACTGTTGTATAGATGTGGGTGTTTATAAAGACATGATACTTTTCCTTACGCAGGCAGAGGAGTCACTGCAGATCGGTAGAGTGATTTTTCCATTTAGGCTCAGCCTGTTTCACTGCTACGCTGTAGCCCAATAAATGCCAAAGAGGCTGTTCTACACACCTTTTCTGCCCATCAGGTGAAATCCAGATACGTATATTCCAAAGACTGTGAGCCCGGAAGAACACATTTGTACCCTGCTCCTGTGCATTTCCTCTAAAGTACTTGAGGTTTATGGTATTTCCTTGTCAATAGCTCTTGAAATACAAGGAAAGGAATAGGATTTTCCATGCACGGCATTTGAGCTTTTGACTGGATCCTTAGGCTGTGGAAACAACAGGCTATAAATTAAGTTTGCAGAAACTCGGGGAACAAGAATATCAATTCAAAGGAATATCCAAAGCAAATGTGAGTTAGATAACCTTGGAGGAGAGAGAACAGGCCGCACATTTTCACATCCTCAGGCCTGCACTGCCCCTTGCTGACAAATTCTCCAGGCATGGAACAAGAAGTGTTGCAGAGCACCAATGTCCTGGGGGTAGAAATGTGTTCTCCTCTCAGCCAGCAGACTCCTCAGCCCCCACAGGCACCACCAGCTGCAGAGCCTGCCCTTGGCAGAGCTCCCTCCTTCAGCTTCTACTTGATCCTCAGACATCACTTTTAAGCATCGGCAGGTATGCATGTGTAGAAGGATGAACATGTAGCAAGGGAGGAGTCCGTCCTGGCCTTTTCTGTCCTCCTCCATGGTTAGTTTCCCAGTTTCTTGGTGGGACATTTGAATGACATTGGCAGGTAGCAAGAGTGCTTTAGAAAGATACAAATACCTGCCAACAAAACTGAGTTGCTTCTCTCCCAGTAATTTAACTGTATTGAATTTGGTGCATCTCCCTGTATTAGGTCACTAGACATTGTCCCTCCCACCTTTCTCTTCCCACAGAAGAGTGGCCTGCATTTGCTGCAATAGGAAGTAATGTGACCTGGATACCAGTGTTAACAAACAAGTAACTTGTGCTCATACAACACCTGCCAGCTGAAAGTTTCAAAACACTTTATAATCATTAACAGGTTTAGCCTTGCAGCCGTGGTCAGTAAGTCTGGAGATGAAATGACCGGAAAGCAGGAAAAGAACTGAAGTACTCTGGGTACCTTTTTTACCTTTGCATGGCGTGAGGGGAGCTACATCAGTAGAGGTACCCTAGGCTGAGATTAAGCTGGTCAACAGGTTTTATTCTTGGCTCTTCCTTCCACCTCCCTGCCAAGTGATCTTGAGCAAGCACCTTGTCTTTCTTTACCTTAGTTTTCCCATCTGCTGCTTTGTAAGAAATTCTGAAATGTGCAGAAAAAAAATATACTGTTGTGGGAGGTGTTAGAGAAAAAGGCCTGGCCACACATACATTGTTTGGGATTTCAAAGGGTCATCTCTGAAGAAGACGTGCACATTCGAACACTGAAGACAGTAGCATAACATCAGCATTGTGTATACTGGGCAATGGAAGCAGGGTGGGAGTTCAGGGGAGAAGCAGAGAAAGTGGGAAAAACAGCTCTGAGAGTCCTTCTGTCCAGTTAATCACTCAGGATCAGACTTAGGGCTCCTGTCTGAGACACCTTGCAGCGTGAGTTGTCACTACAGAGTCCAAGAGCCAAAGCCAACAAAAGTTAACCCTTTCTCCAAAGGGTTAACAAGCATTGCTGTATACTGCTGGTACACCAGCCTAAACAGGTGAGCTGCATCAAGTGGTGCTAATGTAGCCATTAAATGGTGCTAATGGCTCTACAGCTTCCCTGTGGGGGCTATCTTCCCCCCCCCCCCCCCCCCCCGCCAGGAGTGAAGGAGGAGGTAAAAGATAGACAAGGAAGACAGTGTGGTGCAGGATGCTTTGAATACTGTGAAGTTACCTAGAAATTTACCCTTTTTTCTGTTTCTGGTTAGTAAATACTTCTTATTCTATTATATATATATATACCTAGTCAGCACCAGAGATCCAGTATTATTCCTCCTATTTGCGAGTAGCTGTTAAGATGTGCAACAGTTCTGAGAACACGCTCTTGCCTTCAGCAAGAGGCTCCGGGGTGGGGTGGGGGACCCGTTTGCTACTATCTCACACACAGAGTGATTCATGGCCTTATTGAGCTCAGCTGCTCCTAGCTCAGCAAGCAGGGCCTAGAAAGCAATAGGGACCCTGCTAGGTTTATCAGCACTCTCTGCTCATCGTTTTTCTTCTGGCACCAATTCCTGCTCCTATTTTCATGGGTGATACCACCGGGAGATGAAGGAAGGTGGGAGTAACCCCATCCTCCCAAGGAGGTCTGCTGCGATTCTCCCCCTCGCTGCTAGGTCTCTTCCAGGCGCCTCCCCCTCTGTAGATCAGTCCCGCGGGGGTGCGACTAGGCCAGGAAAGCGTTAACCTTTCCTGCAATGCTACATCCCAGCTCACGGTGGAGCTGCCTTCCTCTCTTCCACCCCCAACTTCCAATTCACTCCAAACAACTCCGGGACAGAATTGCAAGGAATAGCTGGAGGTTCAGACTAGACTTGTTGATCTCCGTTACGAGGCAGCAGAAGGAAGTACCGGAGCTTTCCTTTGTGTCTTCATTAAAAAAAATAAATAAATAAATAAAAGAAGAAGAGAGAAAGAAAGAAAGGAAAGAGTTGGGGGGGATGGGGCAGATGCAGCTTCAGCGTTGACTGTAGG